CACACACGACCAGAGCTGCACTGAACCACCTTCCCTGTGATTTCTGGTTTTCCTCATCTACCAAATAAAGATTGCACTGATGTGTTTTTCAAGATAATTATGTAGTTATACATGATTGCCAGGAACTTCAAGACCATTAAAAAGCTTTATAAATGCCAACCATGATTATAACCCTTTGAAACAATGGGATATACAGTTCACAAGTGGAGAAAGATGAGGCCTAACAGGTCATTCTTCTTGCGCAGTCCCTGTTCCTGTCCCCACCCACCACCAGACAGCAACCCAAAGACAAAAACATAAATCTGGAAGAAAGGAGGAAGGCTTATCAAAGGTCTGCATTGTCATCTTGTAGGATGGCACTTAAGTTTGGTAAGAGGACATGCGCGCACGCACACATAGGTGAGCACACAACTCACACACTGGCTTCACTATTGAAATAGACTCAGAAAAGCAGAACACTGGGCCTTTTATATTTAAAGTTATTTTGACCTTCAAAAGCAAACAATTAGCAAGTCCAAAGATGGACGGTTAAGATGAAAATACTGTCAAATCCTGACTTCGTGTCTCTTCCGTGGCTGTCCTACAAGGGAAAAAGAGGCGGGCCTGTTTTGTTCTCCGCTTGTTTTTTATCTCTCTAGATATATCCTACAAACTATCCAGAAAAGGTTTAACTTGTGAATAAGTGGAGCTTCACAGCTTCCTGCCAGCAACACTGTCAAGAAAAGAGAAGTCAGGGACACCTTGTTCAGTTGTTGTATTGGGGATCTTTAAAAAGACCGCTGAAGCCAGAGGTGACTCACACCCCGCTTTTCACATGGTGACTGACACCCGGTCCGTGTCCATTGTAGAATAAACCGTGATCAATTCTCGGATTGTTCCAGACTTGACACTGCCTAGGCTCAGAGGTCAGCAGTCAGCCCTGAAAACACTGTGATTTACGTGGAAGAGGAAAAGAAGGAGGAGGAACGTTAGTGTGTGGGGGGTGGGGTGGGCGTGGCTTTGGCAGAATGAAATCTGCAGCTCTGACCCAGTATTAGACTCGAAGAGAGATTGATGTTACTCGTCTTGATGCGTCTGAAGCAATCGGCAAGGTCCCAAACAGAACAGGCCTTATGTCTCCTGCTGGAAACATGGCTTTACCTGGGAGCAGAGGATTTGCGGGTGGGCCGCTGGGACTACGTGGGGATAGCACTTCACACCGCAGGCCTCTTGGCAGCCAGTGGAGAATGAGCACGACCACGGAGCTGTGGTTTAGAATTTTTGCCAAGTGGCTTCTGTTTCTGGACGTAGGCTCAGTTCGGCTTTTTCCCACTTCTCATCCATACCTTTGTCAGTTGCCTCAGAATGTTTAATGCTTTGGCAAAAGAAACTGGTGAGGTGGCCCCATTACCTCCTTTCTTGACGTCAGTGAGGGAGTTGTTCCCTGTGGCTGTCTTACGGGAAATAATTCAGCATTTGTGCTTCAATTAAAATTCATAGCTATATATTATTAAATGGTACTGACTCATTCCATGGCTTCTCTTCAGCTGATTAAGTGCCAAAAATGTTGCACACTCGGCAGTGATGAAAAGGGCATTAAAACCATGATTTCCTTGTCAACCGATGGTAAGGGCCGTGAAGAAAACAAACACATCACAGAGCCAGACGATCCTCGGTTCTGTGCCAGTCTTTTCTGGAGAAGAAATTTAGGTGCTTTCTGTCTTGAGGCGAGAGAAAATGGAAACCCGAACCCTCTCCCTTTTTAGGAGTTTTGGGAAAGCAGCACTGGGCACAGGGTATTCAATGTGGGCTGAAGCAAACTAAATTACGCAGCTCAAGATTATTCAGTATCTCAAGGAGAGAGGTGGAAGCGTCCCACCTCACACCCCTCAGCAGTGGGGCACACAAGAGCTCAAGCTTTGTTTCTTTCTCTTTTTTTACATCCCAGGGATCAAACTCACCACCTTGCACCTGCAAGGCACGTGGTGGCACCACTGAGCTAAATCCTCAGCCCAAGTTTTCTTGATTTTTATAACATCGACCCTATTCTTAACATCCACTCTTTATTTTATGTTTAATTTTCCCCAGAGGACGAGCAGGGCAGCAACAGTCCTGGTGCTTTGTTCTCCTGCCTGGCTCAGAAAGCTGTGCTTCTGGCTTCAGACATGGTCAGGCCAGGCAGAGGGACCACACGTGGTCAGTTTCCTGCCCTCCTTTCCTTCCCCTGCACAACAAAGCCTGGTATTCCAAACTCCCAATGTCCCCTGCCACGCATGCGTGTGTCCTGCGTCCAAAGCATTCAGTACAATAAAACAAATGAAAGCAAAACCCTTGTGAACCGCAGGCTTCTTATACACAGAAGGGGTACTCATCACGGGAATGGCGGCTTCCTGAGTGACACAGGTGGGAGACCAAACACTGGTTTTGTTCACCCAGGGCTGCTCTGACCACATGCACCACGCGTGTGTGAACTGAAAACGGCTGTGCCTCTGCACAGATCCAGACCTGCAGAGGGATGGGTTCATGTGCCAGTCCTGCCTCTGGCTGCACAGATGAAGAGACCTCACCCAGCCAGTGGAAGGAGCTCTGTGCCTGGTTCTGACCTCAGGAGCTCTTGCCATACCAGGTCAGCAGCTCTGGGTGTGGCCCTGACTCTGGGAACTCTAAGTCTGCAAATACAGGATCAGCCCCGAGCCTCAGTTTCCACCCAAAGGAGAAGACGGAATTGAACTGTGGTTGCCAAAGTTTCTCCGGCTCTAAAAGCTAAGGTTGTGGTGCCTCTTTCCACTCATTCCTCCACCAAAGGAATGTTACAACGTGCCGGCATTTCTGAGTCTGACTGTAAAGTTGTCCAATGTCACTCCCTAGATCTTTGAATGAAATTATGTACAGCTTGATGTGTAGCAGATTAAAAGCAAATGCTTTGGGACAGACACGATGTTCTGGGTGTAAAGCAGCACGGTGAACCCGCCAAACAGGAATAACTACCCTGTGTTGTCAGCGAATGGCCCAAGATGTGGATCCCGCACAAGGACGTCTATTGAAGCTTTTGCCTACTTTCTGTGAGACTGAGCATCAGACTCCATACTGAAGTCCCCGCCTCTCCCAGAGCACCCACTGCACCCAGGAAGCAGAAACCTGAGGAGCCAAGGACTGTTTTCTTTGTTGATGTCCTGTTGCCAGAAAACAGAAATTAGATCCTTGCCCAGATTCTCCTATCAGCAAAGCTGAGCGCCAGGAAGCTCTTCACAGTAGAAAAGCAAACAAATAACAATCTACTCTTTCAAAGCTCTGGACCTCTGAGCCCTGAAATGGGGTTCAAAGTTTTATAATCACATACACATGGAGTGAACCTATTCACACTTCTCAAAATGCCAGCAGAAATAAACTTCTTCATATTCGTATTTCTAAAGGAGTTTTATTTTGTATTGGAATGAGAAGGGTTTCTAGAAATAATTATAACCAATGATATCATCCTCAGAAACAGGGAACTGAAGTCCAGAAAAGGAAAGCGGGTAGTTCCAGGTCACACAGCCGGGCAAACTTGATAGGCCTGGGATTATAATCTAATGCTCTTTCCACAACCCCGGGATGGAAAGGCGAACAGCAGGTTTGGTAAGGAAAAAAGAAGGCACATACATCGCTACAGCTCATTTTGTGCCTTGTTTTGTTTTGGCGAACGAATGTTCCTACCACGAACCAACGTGGTGAATGGCAGAAATCTTACTACCACCAAGGTAGGTGACTTCCCAGTAGTTACGCTTCCTGCAGGTAAAAGAACTGCAAATCCAGTGAGTCGTGTCTCTGCGGTGTCCTTAGCTCTGGGCTCAAGGACCAGGCCTTCTCGGGATTCCCAGCTTGGCTTACCAGTGACCTCTCTTCCTTCCTAGCAGGACCCCACCTTCCTTGGACCCCCTGCCTGTGTGTAAAGTATCAATAGCACAACACTGCTCCTGGGTCGTGACGGAAGCTAACTATGGCCGGAAGATAAGACACATCTTGAGAGAAGACAAGTGAAAACCAGATATTAAAATAAGGGTCACTTTAATTAAACAACTGAGACACAAGCATGGATCTAGGAGTTCGAGAGCCCCATAAGGAAAGGACACCAAGCACTGGCGATGAAGACGGGTTGATCAGGATGTGTTTTCTCACTTAAATACAAAACATTCCTCTTCACCAGTGGCTGCTGTGCTTCAGGAGTCCTGCAGTGGTACCCTGAGCCATGTGGCTCTGAAGGTCTTCTCTCAGAGGCAGCAAGGCCAGGCCGTCCCACCTCAGCTGCGATGCGACATTTGAAGGACATGACTCACAGGGCAGTCTTTCCAGAGCCCCGGCAGGAGAAAGGATGGAAGAAGCTTCCAGTGTTATTTTCCCCTGGTGAAAAAGCCACCAGGGCCCGGGAAAGACGAGGGGGCCCTGTCTCACGGTCATCATCCATGGTTCCTTCCTGGAGCAGGGCTGAGGCGGACTCCATCAGGGGCTCTGCAGGCCAAGGTGGCCCAGCTCAGGGCCTCGCATGGCTCAGGACAGATGCAGCTGAAAGGCACCAAGCCAGAGAGGCCACAGAGCAGGCTGTGCACCCACTTCAGGACTGGGACATAGGGAAGGCTGTGCTTTCACCAACGAGCAGCTTATTCCAAGCTTTGATATGTGCAATTGAGTATATGTGTGTGTGTGTGTACGTGTGTGTACTTCTGTTCCTGTGTGTCATTTTTTATGTGGTGCATGTCCATGTATGTGGTAAGTCTGTGTGTCTGGTGTGTATTTCTGCATGGTATAGATGGTGGGATTTGGAGTGTTTGTGTGCTGGTGTTCATTGTGTGTGTGTGTGTGTGTGTGTGTGGTGCCACTTGTATGGTATGTCTTTGTGTGTTTTTATGGTGCGCTGGGCGGTGTGCTTGCATGTCTGCGTGTCCCACTGTGTATGGGATGTGTATGTTTGCATTGTTGCTACATGTATGCTGTGCGTAGGTGTGTGGTGTGTATCTGTGTGGTGGGTTGTGTGTGTATGGACTGGCGTGTGTGTGTGTGTGTGTGTGTGTGGTGCCACTTGTATGGTATGTCTTTGTGTGTTTTTATGGTGCGCTGGGCGGTGTGCTTGCATGTCTGCGTGTCCCACTGTGTATGGGATGTGTATGTTTGCATTGTTGCTACATGTATGCTGTGCGTAGGTGTGTGGTGTGTATCTGTGTGGTGGGTTGTGTGTGTATGGACTGGCGCCTGGGCTTTGAGAGGGCAACTGAAGAAAACCAAGAAAGGAAGAGTTAAGGGAGCAAGCCTGTCTGGGGACGGAAGGGAGACCTAGCAACTCATATCCACCTGTTCATTTATACCATGGCTCTGTACAAAAATAAAAATGTTCTTCTAAGATTAACAATTTAAATAAATATTCGATTGAACATTCTTTCTCATTGTTATAGCTCATCCCTGGGGTTGATACTCAGTTCACGCTTCCCTTGCTGCCCTTGATCCAGAATTGCAATCACTTCATCGGCTTTTATTCGTTCCTGCAAAAAAAGAGACAAGCGACACGTTTCTGTCACGAGCAAAATAGTCCTGGCGGCGGGTGCTCCCCGAATGCTCCCAGGCTCCACCTGCACAGGGACTGTGGCCAAACCCAGCTGAGGATTAAACCTCATCTCCAGCCCCAGAGCGGGTCCTTGTCCCGACACCCAGTGCTCAGAATGAGTTCTCCTCTTCCTCCCCACAGGCTTCTTCTGCGCTGTTTATGCTCCTGCCCCCACCTCAGACTGCCACTTGCCTTCAAAGCCTGGCCGTGCTGCTTCCTTCTGATAATCCATCTGGTCCTGGCTGTTCCTTCTCCGGTTTCTGTCCCTTTGTCTTCGAGGCATAGTACCCCTGCATTACGTTAGGGCAGGGGCTCGGAACCCCGGCACGACTGACATTTTAGACCAGCTAACTTCTTGTGTGGGGCTCTCCCGTGCACCACGTGCTCAGCCACACCCCTGGCCCTTATTTACCACGGAGCCAAGAAGGTCTCCGAAGTTACAACAACCGAAATGTCTCCAGACATTGCCAAATGTCCCCTCCAGGGCAAATGCCTCTTCTAAAAAACCACTGGCTTAGGGCCTCATCAGTTTTAACCCAGTTGCCTCAGAAGTTTCCACACTGGTCTCCCCGTTTCACAACTCAAAGGCTTCTCACGGATCCTGCTCACTTAAATCTGACCACATCCCCTCTTGCTCAGAGCTTACAAGGCTCTCGTGAGTTCCAACTGCTACAAGTTCCCGGTTCAGTCTTCTCCGTGTGATTATAAGAAATTAACTGGTTTGGATCTCTGCTCTCTTTAGCTCTATGTGTCTCCTCACCTCTCCTCATCTTATATTCCCACTTCCTAACTTCCTGGCTGACCTCAAGGTCTGAGAAGACAGCACCCTCCTGAGAATTCCCCGGTCCAGGTCCGGATGTTCCCTCTGCCTCCTGTCTTTTCTGTCCTCCCACAGCACTCATCACAGAACCAGCTGGTCTACCTCCAAAACGCTCCTCAGACTTTCCACCTCTTTCACCCTCTCGAGGATAACTAAGTCCAAGTGCACATGTTCAGTAAACTGATTTTGTGGATCCCAGTAATTTCTCAGGACTGGGGATTTACTGCAAGGGGTGGGGCACAACATCTCCCCACCAAGTAGCATATTTCTTACATTTCTTCCTTGACCTACAACATGTGGTACTTGTCTTTTCTGTATTCTCTTTTCAGACCCCTTCCTTGCTTGCCAAAACGTGATCCAACCAGCCTCCCTCCCTCTCGCCTTCCCTCCTTTCTCTCCCCAGTATCTTCCCCTTTCTTCTTTTCTTCTTTCTGTCCTTCATTTGGTCCTTCCTTTTGGTCTTTCTCTTTCTTTTCTCTTTTCCTTTTGTGTGTGCTGTGGACCGAACCCGGGATCCTACACAACACGCTGTACCCCTGAGATATAACCCCGGGCCCTTCTTTCTTTCTTCATTACTTGAAGGACCCTTTCATCACTGGGCCTTTGCAAATTGTCCTCTGCCCGGAATACACCTCTCCAGGTGTTTATCTTCATGTCTTTCAGGTTATGCCTCATCTCAAGAATCTGGAGATGGCTCGCAGTTTACTCATCACCCTAAATCTGCTGTCCTGTCCCACTTTCCATACATGTAATTCAGTCCCATCAGAAAAATATCTTGATTACTTATACATTTGCTTCTTTTCTGTTTCTTTCCACTGCAATGTAATCTCCAGGGGCGCAGGGAATCATATCTCCTTGGCCCCTGCCGTATTTCCAGTACATAAAAAATCTACTGATTTTGTGCAAGGACTCATTTATATTCAGTGAATAAACACACACATGGATGAAGGCCTTCCCTAGCTAACGATCTTCTCCCTAAAGTATTCTTACTCCTCCTCCTCCTTATTAAAAGAAAAAAAAGTCATGTATAAGTTGTCTGCAAAAACAGCACATTTCATTTCCATGGACATAAACAGACTGTAAATGAAAGGTTGGAAAATAACGCTCTCCGCAGCTGGAACAGGAAAGCCCACAGGAGTCACACACGGGTGGTTCTGTGGTGGGATCGAAATATAAGGTGAAAGCTTAAATTTAAAAAAAGCAGTAGAAGGGGCCAGCGATTTAACTCAGTGGTTACCCAGCCTATCTCACAGGCACAAGGTCCTGAGTTTGATCCCCAGTACCAAAAACAAACAAACAAACAAACAAACAAAGGTAAAAGACAGACTGCCATTAATCCTTCTCAAAATACTCCCCCATGCTTTGAATACACTCCTTCATTCTTCCTGTCGCTTTCTGAAGCAGTTATGTAAGTCACTTGTCATGAGTGTCTTTACAAGGTGTGATAAAAATATGGTGAATGCTGCTGCTAAATGCCATCAGCAGAAGTGTAGACTCCTAAAACCATGATGTTGTGTCCCCATCCACATTCACTGGACCTGGCTCTGTTCAACCTCTGGGTCTTCCCCAAAATGAACATGTCCATGAAATGTAAATGTTTTGAGTTGACTCAGGATGTGAAGACAGTCACAAAAGCATCACTAACGACACTCATGAAAGAGGTTCTCTAGAACTGCTTCAGGAAGTTGCAAGAATAATGGGATAAGTGTGTTTAAAGTGTGCAGATACATTTTTCAAGGGGATTAAAGGCAATATTTCTTTTACTATAATCAATTTTTAAAAATGTAAATATCCACCATATTTTTGATGATGCCCATTCTATTTGACAAAGATGACTTCAATTTAAAATTTGTTGGAAGATACAAAGATGGTCACTGCATTTGTTGAAGGAGATAATTAATAGAGGAGAGAAAACAATTGTAAATATGCCTGCAGCAAATGTTGCCATATGTAATTTCATAAAATAAATACTACTTGCTAAAAAAGGACAGATAGACACCAAAATGTCATAGTGGATGTTATAGCTTGTGTTTAGATGACCCCCCACCCCCCAAAAGAAACCTCAGGGATAGGGTAGGACTTTTTCAGAGGTGGCTGGATCTGGAGAGTGGGATTGATTCATGGTGCAATGCTAGCCCCGAGGGCACTAGGACTAGGGTGTGAGTGCTATCTGACCTAAGAGTGGTGGACTGAACAAAATAGAATGGATACAAAGAGGCTCGCTACTAATCACTTGCAGTTTGTTGCTTGTTGCTTGCTGGCTTCTGGCTGCCATGGACTGTTTCTCCCATGATGCCCCTCAGCCATGACATCCCACCTTGGAGCTGGCCAACTACAGACTGAAACGTCTATGATTTGTGAGCCAAATAAACTTTTCTTCCTTTAAACTGTGAATGTTGGGCACTTTGTCTCAGCAATGAGAAGAGTAACTAAAAGAGTAGGGGACTTAAATTCCCCACTCTCACAAATAGATATGTCAACCAGGCAAAAATTCAACAAAGAAATATCAGAGTTAAACTAGGCTATAGATTATGTGTATTGAACAAGTATCTACAAACTGTTTCATCCAATGAGAGCATAATATACCATGATTTTCAGCAGCCACTGAGCTTTCTCAAAAATAAAACATATTTTAGGCCATTAAGCAACTCTCAATAAAAACAGAAGAAATGAAATAATATGACACACTCTACAGCATCAGATCACAGTGGAATAAAACTAAAAACCAACAGCAAAAGAAACTTTAGAAAATATATAAACAGCTGGAGATCAGATAGCAAACTCTTGAAGGAACAGTTGGCTCACAGAAGAATCCACGGGACAAATTTAAAACTTCTAACAGCAATCACAATGGAAACAACAACATATCAGAATCCATGGAAAAAGAAGCAGTTCCACTAGGGAAGTTTAAAGCTGTGAGAGCTTCCATTAGAAATCTGAGTAATCCCAAATAAATAACCGGACGATGGATTCAAAGTCTTAGAAAAAGAAGGGTGGATCAAACCCAGAGACCAGTAAAAGGAAAGAAATAGTGAAAATCAGAGTGGAAATTGATGATATGAAGACTAAGAAAGAAGGTACAAAGGATCGGTGCATCAAAGAGGTGGTGAACCTCCAATGAAACAAAAATCAGAAAAAAAGGCCAACATCAAGAACATTAGAAGTGAGAAAAAGGAAATTACAACCAACATCACTGAAATCCAGGCGACAACTAGAAATTATTTTGAAAACTTGTACGAGTCTAGTTCAATACATTACAGCATCTAGATGGAACGGATAAACTCCTAGGTGCATATTACCTACCAAACCTGAAGGAAGAAGATACAATAAATCTAAATGGATCAATAATGTGCAAGGGAATGGAAAGGATAATAAAGCTCTACCAACTAAACTCAGGACCTGTTGGATTTACTGCTGAATTTTACTAAACCTTCAGAGAAGAACTGAAACCAATGTTTCTCAAAATTTTCCATGTCATGGAAAAGAGACTGTGTAGCCAGCATTACCCTAATACCAAAGTCAGACAAGGACTTGATAGAAAGGAAAACTATATACCAATATCCCTAATGAGCATAGATGCAAACATTGATCAATAAATACTTGCAAACACAATTCAAAAACATACTGAATGATCATTCACCACAACCACACTTGCTGCATCCCAGAAGTGCAAGGGTGAGTGATTCAGCATACATAAATCCATAAATGCAACACACTACAGAGAGGAAAGGATAACAATCACATACTTATCTCAAAAGACACAGAAAAAGCCTTTGGCAAGATCCAACATCCTTTCATGATAAAAACCCTGATGGAAATAGGTATGGAGGGATTTTTATCTCAAACGGATGAAAGACACATTTGACAAACAGCCAACATCATACTGAATGGAGAAAAACAAAGTGTTTCCTTTAAAACGAGAATGAGGAAAAAGTATCTGCACTCACTATTCTTGTTCAATACATCAGTTACATCATGTCAAACTTCGACTGGCATAATCAGGCAGGAGAAAGAAATATGAATAGAAAAACAAGTCAAATCATCCCTATTTGTAGATGATAGGGTTCTTCACATAAAAGCCACCCCAAAACACCACTAGAAAACTTTTAGATCTGATAAACTCAGCACACCAGTAGGATACAAAATCAACAATAACAACAACAAAATCAGTGGTGTCATTGTACACCAATAATGAGCCTCCTGAAAAAGAGATCAGAAAAAACAATCCCAATGACAATAGCTTCAAAAAATTAAATATCTAGGAATCAATCTAACTAAAGAGGTGAAAGATCTCTACAATGAAAGTGACAGAACCCTAAAGAAGGGAATTGAATTTTACTTTAGAAAATGGAAAAATCACACTTATTCATGGACTGGCTAAACTAATACCATTAAAATGGTCATCTCAGCAGGAGTGGTCTTCAGATTCAGTGCGATTCCTATTCTGCAAAAAACATTCTTTACAGAGTAAAAAAAAAAAAATAGCCTAATGTTGGTATGAAATCAGAAAAAATATAGTTAGAGCAATCTTAAACAAAAAGAGCAGTGCTGCAGGCATCACAATACCAGAGCCAAATTATACTCTAAAGTCATAGTAACAAAAACAACATCACAAAAAGGTACACAGATAAATAGGAGGAAATAAAATCAACCCCGGGCGTCTAGAGCTATTTGAATTTTCACAAAGGGGGAAAAAACAATGGCGCTGGGAGAGTTGGATATCTACATACAGAAAATTACAACTAGATCCTTCTCACTCTGTAGGGAAAATCATTAAAAAAAAAAGATCAAACACCTAGAGATAAGACCAGAAACGTTGAAACTGTTTGGAAGGTAGCATAGGGGAAACACTTAAAGCCTTAAGCACAGGTAAAGATTTCCTGAAGAGGAGTCTAAGACCATACGAAATTATATCAAGGATCAACAAATTAGATCACATCAAATTAAAAAGCCTCTGCACAGCAAAGGAAGCAACAGAAGGAAAGTACAACCTACAGAGTGGGAATAAATCCTTTACTAGCTACTTATCTGATAGAGGTTCAATACCTACAATATATAAAGAACAACAACAAATATTCTCCTGAGGCACCCAAATAAAAATGGGCAAATGACCCGAAGAGATATTTCTCAAAAGGCTTAGAAATGGCCAATAAGTACATAAACATATTCATTGTACTAAGCCAACAGAAAAATAAAAATCAAACCCACAATGAGATTTCATCTCACCCCAGCCACAATGGTTACCTCCAGGAGTACAAGAAACAATGAACACCAGAGACTGTGGGTGAAAAGGGATGTCTCCTACATGATCGGTGGGAATGCAATCCAGTACCATTGCTATGGACATCAGTACTAAGGTTCTTCAAAAAACTAAAAGTAGAAATACCATTTGATTCAGCGGTATCACTTCTGGGTACATTACTGACTGAATTGACGACAGCAAACTATGGCATTACATACCCATGTTTACAGCAACCAATTCACAATTGCCAAACTCTGGAAACAGCCTAGATTCCCATGATTAATGCATAAAGAAAACAGTACATACACACACAGCAGAGTGTTATCCGGCCATAAGGAAGCATGAGACCGTGATATCTGCAGGAAAACTGACGGAACTGGAGAAAAGCAAGTTAAGGAAAATAAGACAGACTCAGAAAGTTAAATACACTTTTTCCTTTATATAAGAAACCTGGAATATGAATAAACAGATGCGGGGGGAACAAAAAGGAGGGAGGGAGGGAAAAGATGATAGAAAACTGGAAGGTAACTTGAAATTGGAAAGGGAAGCAGCCAGGGGTCAGCAAAAGAAGAATGAAGTAAAACGTACTGAAAGTGTTCGAGGGAAAAAGGGAAAAGAAAAAATATGTGAAAAGGAGAAACATGGAAACTGTCTCTGTAAACAGGGAAGGGTGGAGGGGGTGCAGGGAGGGCTCAGGAATAGGGAAGAATCAGAACCAGGATAAGTCACATAAAGGTACAAGATCCCAGTGATCAATGTAACTGTATTTTATGCCTGAGTTGTGCCAATAGACTTTAATACAGATAAAAAGAAGTGTTCGGGGTATATTATATGAGTGTGCCAAGTCCCCCGGATGAACCTCGCTCTTCTGGCTAACAGGCACTCTAGAGAGAAACCTTACTATCCTGTAAAGCTGCTCATTTCCAGTGACAGCTCCTCAACAAAACCTTTCCTGATTGCTTCTGCACTGACCCTAAATCATTCCCTCCCTGCTGATAATTCTTATCAAACTTTATCATATGCTGTCATCCCTCTGGCCCCTGTACTGTTATCTCTGATTCTCCTTCAAGCTCCCCGAAAACAGGGGTTATGTCACCATCTCACTTGTGTCACCCTACGTAGTCCTTGCCATGACTATGTCGCACAGTAAAGTCATAAAAATAGCTCTTTTATCACCTGAACACGATGCTTCTTTTATACAGGTGCTTACCACTGAAAATGATGCTGACGTAAAAGAAACTACAAAGACTGAATATAATGAATGCCTGAAAATTTGCTACATTATTCACTGCCCCCAATACTACTTTGTGAACCCAGGAGGAAAAGTCTCTGCTATGGACAGACCGACAGAGCTGCAAAAGCTGAACATCCAGTAGCCACAGAAACTATTACCGTCGTGGCTCTGGTAAAGGAATGAAATTTAAGAGCGGCAACGGATAACACTGGACGCTTCTAACATCTTCAGATCACCGAGAGTTTGTGACGCTAGGTACTCATGAGAACTGAGTACGTGCAGCATACGCGGGTCTCCGCATGCTGTAGTGCCCTGCTCAGAGGCGAGCTCTCCTTGTTAAAGGATTCGGTTTGAGAGAAAGGCACTGAAACTGGGAGCTCCCACACTGCTGCAAATCTGACTCCTACCACCTAGGTCACGTCCTGCATTAATTAAATCAGAAATTGTGAAGACAGAGGCCTGGTGATGGTAGCTTGTCAAGATTCCCTAGGCAAGTCCAGGGTGTAGCAGTCTATGAATTATTATATGGCACAGGCTGAATCTCAGCGGCTGAAGAGGCGCTTGTCATTTTCCAATGTGGCCACTAGATGCCGCTACCGCCCCAAGACTGTGACACTTTTCCTGAATAGGAAGGAGGCGAGGACTCACGTTGTGTTCATTTGTTTTGGTAAAAGAATACGCTGGAAGAGAGAGTTTGAATACAGAATAGCCAAATCATCAGCCGAACTTAAATAGTGAGGCTGTTTTCAATGATTTGTTCATATTCAGAGCTGACTCATTTACCTAGGTAGGCCCACCTGTATGACGGAGGGTAGAGGGATGTTGGGAATCGAGGTCAACACATACAGGGAAGGAAAAGAGCTACAACTCTACTCTCTGTTCCCTCGGTCGCCTGTCACTTTACCGGCACCTTGCTTGATTTTCGGCTACACAGCACTTCCTGACGTCTGTGCTCCTCTCCTCCCTGCTGACCTCTCCTTGGTCCGTGTGGCCAGAGCCGGATGTGCTCACCTCAGTACCCAGCACGTTTTCCCAGGTGCACGATGACTCTCCTCCAAACACTAGCACAATATATGGAGGAACACTCAGGGAAAGTAGACAAAGAAAGAACTCTACCATTTGTTTAGTTTCAATGGTGGAAAGTAGAAAAGTGGAGTATTTGAAGACAGTTTCTGATGAGACTGGACTCACTTTGGGGACCTAATGAGGACAATCACATGGCAGGTCATTTTTAGGAACAGAAATGCATGGCTCTCTTAGCACGAGCCCATGCTATGAAGCTTTGGTGCAATGCGAGTGTCCAGACTACAGCAGTGGACAGAGCCTGGAATGGAGTGCAGCACCTGCCTCGCAAGCACAGGGTCCTGAATTCGATCCCCAGTACAAAAACAAAAACAAAAAAAAGGCAGACAATTTTACCTGGCAGTCATGACAAAGTGAAAGACACATGGGTGGAAAGTCATTGGAAAGGAGCAGATCAAATCCTCTTACCCGGGCTGTCCATCCTTGGCTACTTCAAGTATAATATTATTTTTAATATTTTCTTTAATAGGAACAGGAATTCATCATAATCTTTCAGATTCCTTCAGGTTCTTCTGCATGAATTGTAAACTGTTCAATGAACTTCCCAATGACTGATTTTCCATGAAAATAGTACAGTCCTACAAACACTTGTATAATGTATAACATAATATATAATAAATATAATAGTACAGTCTTCCTGGAGGCCAGCAGAACCTCTTTCCTCTCTTCTGATGCTACAATTTGTCAATGAGCTTAGTACTGATCATCAGTTACTAACTACCACTGATGGATCTATTTTTGGAAACATTTTCACTTATTTGAACTCATTAGATGAAAATTCACCTTCACAGCCCTCCTGTATTCCTCAGACTCTCACCATAAATGCTGGGTGTGCAACTGCTAAGTCAGGGTCTACCAGCAAATTTTGCTCTTGGTTTGAAAACAGTTCCAGAAGAGATTCGGTAAAAGTTTTGTCCCGATCCCTTAGGACCCTGCAGGGATAAGGAACAAGCCCGGAAGTTTCCAGATAGAAGGGTTCACGCACAGGTCTCTCCGGCTTCCCTGAGACATGAGGCACTCACCAGCTCTCTGTAGAGTGGGTCCAACGTAAACCACAGAGCCACCGCGCACCGCTGGCCTTTGGTGACCGCCTTCACCCCGTGGGGGTTCTCTCCTCCGGAGGAGAAGCTGATCATACGGCCACACTTTGGTTTTATAGATGCCTGAGAAGGAGAGCGAAACTTAAGACTTTCCATTCTTATACCGTGAGCATATCCTTCCTTGGAATTACCTGGGCTACGTGTTACCAAAGAATAACAGAATCATGGTGTTACAGAAAAAAATAATACGTCTCAGTTTTCACATCTTTAAAAGAAAGAAAAAGTCAAAATAATAACTAAGTCACGAAATAATTTTTTGTGTGTGGTACTGAACCAAGGGCCTTCACACTGAACTGCATTCCAGACCCCTTGTAATGTTCTTTTCTTGTTGAGACAGCATCTCACCGAGTCACTGCAATGACCAGGCTGGGCTTGAAGTTGCTGTGCTCCTGGCTCAGCGCCCCCCCCCCAAGAGTGCTGGGGTAACAGGAGTGCGGTTCCACATCCAGCTAATAAAATGACTTAAGTAAAATGTGTTCCACAACCCATGCGGGTGGTAAGTACTCCAGACATGCTACTCAAGTAGCCTACCGATTCCAAGAAGGCAAGCCCTCTCTTTTAATTCATTATACGGCTTTAGCATGGGCAAAGCATCTATGTGCAAGGTAGGCGTAAGTTTAATTTTCGTGGAATCATAAGGAAATGAAGAGGACATCTGTCATGCCAGAACGGTTTTAATACTGTCTGGGTAGTGGTTATATGAGTGCACCATGTCTAATTCTTTAACCACACATTTACGTTTTATGTATTTTTCACAATGCAAAACTTTTCAAAGCAAAGTCTAATTCCGTACGACACGGAATTCCCTATCCAGTGCTCTGGGTCCTTCAGGCACTGTGGGACTCTCTCCGCCGATGACCACACACGCCCCCTTGTGGTAGCCTAGCGCATGGCCTCCCTGAGAGGGCTCTAAGGGGCCCTAAATTTTGTGTTTAGAGACCTGCCTGATGGGAGCAGAGCCCACCCATCCCTCCTTGGGAATCTGGCACTTCCTGGTTGTAGAGTAGAAGGCAGAGTAAAGCATGAGGAAAGGCAGTACTACGCACCCTACCGCAGGCTAAGAGGCACCGTTCTAACTAGCTACTTTCTGAGCTAACTGGAATGGGTACAAACTCATTACAAGAACGCTTTCACTCTGCAAAAAACAAGAGAGCTATGTCACGATAGTCTTAAGAAGAGTAACTCAACCTTTTCTGAAGTCTGCGAAAGATACATAAGATGTAGATGCTCAGACTGTGCAGCAGTGTCTGGAAAATCAGAGGTGGGTGGAGGAGTCAAAAAGCCAGAGGCTCATGGTTGTGTGCGTGTGTGTGTGTGTGTGTGTGTGTGCGCGCGCGCGCGCGCTCATTTGCATGCCCGACTGTGTTTGTGTACAAGACTATTTAGAGGGAAGAACAGAAAGGAGCAGTCAATTTCTAGCTTTTCTCTTAGTCACAATAATTGAAGAATGCTTTTGGGTCACCCTCCCCCCATAGAGCAGCTTTTCAGAAGCAGCTTGGTCAAAGTGACTTTTCTGGTGTCCATCCAGGTTTGCTAGGTACCAAAGCCTCAGAATCAGTCCAGTTATCCACAGAAAGCAGTTGCTGGGCATTTGCACATAGAAATAGCACGATACATGACATGTGAGGCCTGCGGCTTGTGACAGAAAAGCTTCCTCAGTCGGTGGCCTTAGGGCTGGGGTTTCACATTCTCCGGGACCCACATTCCCTGATGGCTTCTATGTGATTAACAGGTCTCGGTAGCAAGCCTTTGTTGTATTAAAGAATGGGGACGGGACGATTCAGTGTTTTCTCTCTGGCACAATCAGAAATGTGAGGAAGTTTGGGAAAGTTTAGGAAAACGAGCCATGCACTGCCTAAAGCAGTCCACATGGATTACAGGTGTGTGGGCACTCAGGGACCAATCGTGGAGCCTCATCTCGTCTCACGGGGGACTTCGACTTCACAGTCAGCACGGGGAGGGATCCACACACTTCAATCAACTCGTCTCCCTTGATAGCAGGGCTTCTAAAGGCGAGTATGTTCTCAAGTTTAAATAAATGACACATTTCCCTGAAAGTAAGACATAGCCAGAAAATACTCAGCCTTGAAGACTAGAGATCAACAGTGTCAGGCCCAGTCAGCCTTGCCTGCCATCGCAGAGCAAGGGAATAGTGAGGTGTAATCCTCTCCGAGACAGCGGCCATCACCATGGTAACAAATGGCTTGAAGCTTATTGTCCAGGTGGTCTTATTTTTGGGGGAAACACAGTAATTGGAAACATAGTTTTGCAACACAGCCCCATTCACATCACATTTGATTTTTTTTCATGAAATACATGGAAATCATCAAATCTGATCTCTTTCGGTCTTAAACAGAGGAGACCGGAACACCTTATTCCTGTCTCACAAACAAATGCCACTCTTGAAAATAACTCATTATTGGGCCGGGGATTTAGCTCAGCGGTTCGGTGGCCTGCCTTGCAAGCACAAGGACCCGAGTTCAAAAGCCGGCACCAAAAAAGAAAAAAAAGAAAATAACTCGTTATCTCCCGAATATACTATCTTCAAAGTATGCTTTTTAAAAACTGCTTTCTGTTGGCTGTGGTTTAGATCTAAAATATTGCTTAAGTCTCATGGGCTCTGAGGTGGGGTTTGTAGCAGGTGACGGGGTCACCGATGTGCTATACTCAGACTCGTGAGTAAATGAATCCATTGATGAGTTTAGAGCTGAATGTGTTGTTAGCAGCTGGGGCCTGATTGGATGAGGTGGGTTCCTCAGGGCGGGACCACGTCACCGTAATCTCATCCCTGGTCCTTCCGCTCTCTCGTTGCTTCCTGGCCCGCATGCGCGGAGCAGCCTTTTTCTGCCACGGTCTCTGCCATAATGTTTCTGCCTCAGAGCCAGCCATCCATGGCCTAAATAGTCTAAAACTGAGCACCAAAATAACCTGCTCCCCTGTAAAATGTGAGTCAGGTGTTTTCTCCTATCAGCGGGAAAGCTGAACACCATCGCAATGACGACAGGGTTAGAGAAGCATTTGTGATATATTTGTCCAGTGTTTAAATCTAAACACTGAGCCACCAGTCACTCAGAAAAGCTTCAGAGTTTTTCCAAAGTAAGAGATGCAGGAGACTTCACTTCCTTGGGTAGCTTCAAGTTAGGCCTCTCCTTGGTCTATTTACTTCAGGGACTAAGGGGAGCTGAAACAGAAAATCGACTATTTCCCTTCATTACCGAAATTTGAATAAATTTACAATGGGAAAATATAACTAATATTCTATAATTTTGAGAATTTCTAGACTTCTTAACTAAGAATTCTAATTATATGTGAAATAGCTTTAAGACCTTTGCCACATGCTTTAATATAAAGTATTACTGAAGTTGTTCATTTACTTTTTTGAGGGGAGGTTAGATTCAATGCTTCGAAAAATAGTTGCACTGTTTCTTAAAATTATAGATCTCTAAAAGGAGAATATTTTCTGCTTCGACGTTTTTAAAAGCCAGAGTTGCAGGGAACTGAATTCAAACTGATTAGTATTTCAGGCGTTCAAATACTGAACACTTCCAACAATGACCACTAGGTGGAGAAGAACCTAAGAAATCTTTTCAACCATCTTTGATTTCTGATTTTCATTGAGGATGTATGAGGGGCAGCATTTTAAAAAAATATCTCTGTTTCAGTGTTGGCAGAGATCAAAAATAGAACGCTTTCTACACATAGTTCTTTCAAAAGTGAGAATCCTGTATAGGTTTTTAAACACGACCTTTTGCATCAATCAATTAAATTTCACAGACGATGAGGCATCAGTGAATGATTGTTATATTAACACTGAATCTTTTTTTTCCAGAAAATCCTGAGACATCAGGACATTCTAAATGTGCACTACTGTAATCGACTTCATGAAATAGCTTTTTCTTAATTATAACAATTCCTAGGACAATTTTAGTAATTATCCTCATAGGAATCCTCTTTAAACTCAATAATACAGAGTTTCCAATATCACTTGATTATTCCACAGTAATTTGTCCTGTGTCAACACAGATGAGAAAATTACACAAACTGTGGAAGTACAAGTACAAACTCAGTTCCAGAAATAAAAGGCCAGACCCGAATTTATCATATGCACATGTCCCAAGTACTTAGATTTGTATAAAAGTAAAGTATGCCAGATCATCTATTTATAAAGTGATTGCCTCAACTAGAAAAAAGGCTTTTCTGCCATGGCGTATGCTCTCTGGCTTTAAGATCCAGAGGTGCTAACTATATTGCCTCCAAGAGGTAAGCAGGCTGGTTTTCCCACAGGCAGTAGTTTGCTTAGGCAGACAGTGGTTGAATTTAATATCTGCCTCCCTTAACTGTGTGTGTGTGGACACCCACTTACAGGCATGCGTCTGTGACTTGCACTTACAATGAAATATATCCGCATATCGACACGTGCATAGACCCATCTATGATCCATTCGGTAAGCAGGGATTTAGAGGCCAGTGCTCAGTCCAAGCTTGGAGAACACCAAGTTACTTGAAGGTATTCTGCATCTTTATTTGATCTGTCTTAGACTTGGATAACGGAGGAACTGCTGTTTTTACATTTCTGTTGGAATACTTGACAAAGAATAGGAAGATCTAGGTTTTGGTTCCTAAGTCTAGCTATATGATCACAATCAAATCCTTAATAACGTGATTATTTAACCTATCTTTAAAATGAACTAGCATACCTTTATGGAGGTTCCCACTTCAATGTTTTAAGACCAGGCCATTTAATGGGACTCACTTCACCTCCTATAGCCTTGATTTTCTAAGTATTTGAAATCCAATAGCCTATCAGTCCACGGAAATAAGACTGACAATAAACGAAAAGGTTAAATACATCTGCAGGAAGAGGTTCGCTTACAGTCACAGTCTTAGCATCCATTTCAGTGAATATGAACTCTCCTCCTTCAAAGTCATCGTTCATATACAGGAGAGCACTGTAACAGAGAAGGGAAAGCCACTCATACAGTTAAGCGCTCATGACGACATCATCAAAGAATACCGAAGGCTGGTGGGAAACGAGCCAGCCTGATCAACAAGTTGCCTTTGAAGTAGACACTGAAATAATTGACCCTCCCACCCCTGATGGGATGATCAGGTGAAGTCTGGGTTACAGGCCTGAGACATTTATTGATTTCACCTGCATTAAAGATTTAATTATATTTTAAAGTTCACCTCACATTTCAACTCCTCCAAAGAATACCTAACTAAATTTGATTTAAAATAGACGTCTGAACTCATTCTCACTGCTTATAACCCTCTTCTTCTCTCATATAAGAGTTACTATAAAGGATATAAATATGTACATGTGTATATATATATATATATATATATATATTATTTTTATTTTTATTTTTTTAAACTAGCTGGAGAGTTCCCAGACTTGCAGGCAGGGGTCTTCAATAGATGTTTCTGCATAGAACATGGTGTAGTAATAATTAACACACCATTATATACAGGGTGATCACAACTCCTGATCCTTCTCTTCACAACGACATTATTCTGAGTTTCTTACTGATAAAATGTGTACATAGTTCTCCACAGGCGCAAGTAATGGCTAAGTAATGGGACAAACCCTACACGAGTTGGAACATCATCAGGCTTACGTTCTTGGACTAAAGCACACCTCAAAACGACGTGATTAAAAACCACTCTAGGGCCAGGGATTTAGCTCAGCGGTTCGGTGGCCTGCCTTGCAAGTGCAAGGACCCGAGTTCAATCCCCAGTACAAAAAAAAAAAAAACACTCTAGTTAATCCGAGGCAAAATGTGTATGATGCTTAAAAAAAACGCAGACGGCGCTTCTCAGTTATGGCAGCCATTGGAGGAGAGGACTTGGATCACAAGCCAGAGAGAGCAGTTTCCCAGCTTCCTTGGGGTTTGAGAAGTGCTGGGTTCAAGCCTGGTGTGAAGGGGCCCCCGCAGTACCTGTAGTCCCGGAAAGTGTAGGCCGGGGGCTCTTTCCAGCACTCATTGGCCTCCGGATCCAGCAAACAGTTGTCAGCGTGGATAGGATGACTGAGGTCATTTCTTCTGTCTTGCTGACCTGCCGCCAGGAGGAGAGCCAGGGTGAGAGAGGAAGTGCGGTGACTCCCAGCAGATGATATAACCGTCTTCTCCCACCATGATGGGCGCAAGGCGAGAGACTCGGATGTTCGGGCTCCATGGGAAACTTTGGGCGAATGACGCCTGTCTCTTCAACTACAGAAGTTCTCTGGTATAAACACACACGTGTGTGTAAAGCCCATGCACCTCGTGTGCGGCAGCAAAAGTTTAAGGATAACATGGACGCGTAATCCAATGATTTCGATTCAGCTAAACCTCCCCGAGGGTGACATCTGCTCCTGTGACTTCCCTTTATTCCCCGTTCAAGGGGAAGAAAAAGAGAAGGCAGAGGGGAAGTGACAAAGATGTGGGAGTAAGGGAGACTCTGACTTTTGACAATTCTTAATAATTCTTCCACCGCGTGTTTCTGCTCAAGGCTCATGACATAACAAATGTAACATTCAAGTTCTTGGTTCCAAGAAAAGGAACCTAGAACAGAAAAACATCTTTCGGTCTGGCCTTAGCAATCAGGAAAAAGGGATTCGAAAGAGACCGTTTATAAAGTAAGGGTCATCTGAAACTTTAGTGGAACAAAAAGGAGAAAAAGAGGACTAGGAAAACCACAGAATTCACGCTTTTCGTTTCTTTCTTTTTTTAGAAACACAGATTTTCAGTGATGCATTTCCCACTGCATCGTGAGTAGCAGGGAACAAGTTTAGGCTGTGAAATCTCACCGGACAGCGCCGTTCGGCACACCAAGTGTGTATAGGAAAAATACAGGGTCGAGTTCAGCATGAAATAGGATTCCACGATCTTTCGAGCCTTCTCACTGACGTCATAGAACAGACGGGCACTCTTCAGTGGGACGCGGCCTTCATAACCGAACTGAAGGGGGAAAAAAGACATTAGCAACCACAGGGTTGGCTGGAGGACTTGGAACAAGCGGACACGAGGCTTCGCCGTGCGGACTGCAAGTGCTTGCGGATTTGGGTTAGGACAATAAGCGCTCTTCCATCCTCTCTGATATTTCTTGCAACAGAGAATACTTGCCTGTTTCAGTCTGTTACCATAATTAGAGCCTGAGCCCCTTGAGGACAAGGGTTGCATTTTGGGGCCCTTCGGAAGCCTAAAGGTGAGTAAATGGATGACTGGATGAAGGAACTATTTAAAATAACAAAACGGCTGCAGGGGTAGCCTCTCACGCATCAGGCCCTGGCTCAAGCTCTGGCACGCAGAGCCAAACAGACAAAGGCACCAACAGCTTCCACTCTGGACTTGGTCCTTAAAGTTCCCCTATCTGCTATTCACAAATGCCTCTGGATCGAGGCTTAAGAACCCAACCCCAAAGGGGTTCAAAGCCCTCACCTTGAGGGCTTTCAGGACAGTTGCACCTTCAAACTTCTCATTGGGTGTATGCGGTGAAGTTTTTCCTCTGTACCCATCACCAACAAGCATGACTCCCTGGAAGCAAAACGCAAAGATGTCTGCTCAGTGACAGCCGCTAAGATGAATCCTCCGTCTTTTTGACTTCAGCTGCCAGAAAGCTGGGGGCCAAAGTCCATACTCCGAACCACAGCCACTTCATTCAAGAGAGATCTTTATTTCATCTGCACTCTGTTTTCCTTATAAAATGTTACACTTTTTATAAAAGCGAACGGAAGGTAAATGATTTATATGCTGGTGGGTTACTGATTAAAATACAGAGACTGCAAAGGACAGGAAGGGCACACGCCACAGAGCCACTGTCCTAGATCTTAGGCCACGAGTCATCCAGGGCCAACCTGGAAAATGAAAAGCATCCCAGCCTGGAGCCTACAAAGTGCCCCTGCCATCAAAGCTCTGGTCCTGGAGCAAGGGATGCTTCAGGCCCGATTCCCTGGATCCACACGGACCTGGTCCGTGGCCCTCCCAGACTCCTGTGCGGTGTGTGTCGGGGGTTCCCCTCCCGTCTCGTACTCACTCTGGCCACGCTGTGGAGCTCTCGGCACTGCTCCTGGGACAGGACATTATCCAGGAGCACCCTCTGGGTCCCATTCAGCTGCTCAGAGTTGTAGACGAAGGTGACATTCTCGTAGAGCAGAGGGCCACCTGCAGGGACGACAGAGCACATTGTGTCTCCGGGTCAGTGGCTTCCGTCCTCGAGAAGGGAGGCACAGAACACACCACAGCTGAAGGACAGTCTGGGAGCATCTGCTTCTTCATCACTACTTAGGAATGCAAACACACATTACGTATCAGGCAGGGCAGCTTGACGAGCAGAAAAAGCCCCATGTGCGACTCCCAGGTTTCCCTGTTGTATCAGAGTAATAGATGAGGTGTGCACAGTGTTTTGTGATAGAGAAACTGTTTTCTTTCTTTTTATTCAGGCTGATCCTGAAAAGCGGACTGGGCAGCTCATGGAATTCTCCTCTGAGAAGACGTGCCCTTCTCCAGGGCCCTCGCTCCTACTTCTGCGGTAGCACAGCAGACAGCTACTGGATGCCATGTTCCCGACGCTGGGCAGGACAGGCTTAGCTCAGTTCCTCATTTCTAGAGCGAAGCCCTCCCCTGGTAACTCAGGCCATCACACCAGATCGCCCGGCTCCTTCGCCAGGCGCCGCCCACTGCTCCACTGACTGTAAAGGTCTTGTATTTGGAGTCACTATGTTTCTGCTTTCTGGCTAAAATCTTTCCCTAGCCTTCTCTGCCATGAAGAGTTTCCTGTGGGCTGTTCTCTCTGGAGAGAGCCCCACCTTCAGAAAATCACCCTCACATTGGCTTTGCAGAGAGTGACACTGGGGGCTCACATTCTAGTTTGTGAAATCACAAAATCCGGACCTGACAAGTTCCATTCCTCATACAGGGGGACCGAAGAAAACATCTTTGACGGAGAAGAAATCTTCAGCTGGAGCAGAGTGCAAAGTGTTATGAATCGGAAGCTGAGCAGAAAACAGTGGTTTTAAAACTCCTAAAAAGGATGAGGACCTGGCAAGTGCCTGAGGGTACAAATAGCTCAGCACAGAGGGCAAGCGGGTAGGGGAGGCAGACACGGCTCCTTCTGTCCTCCCCCAGAAATGGTTTCGGACATCAACACAGGGCCTAGGACACATCTGTGGGAGGAAGCGGAGACAGAGCCTGACATCCGCTAACCTCTACTGAACAGTGTAGTCAAATAAGGGAGTCCTGCTAATTGTTTATTTTTCTACTAAGGACAACAGCTTCACTGCATCCTGTGATTAATGGAATGTGAGAAGAATGACACAGTATTTCTCAATCTTGAGAAATGCATGGTTTTCTCCTAAAGCAAATTGTCCCTGGAAAGCACCAGCGCTAACAAATCTTCTGTCCGAAAATTTTACTTCTGTATTTCTAGTCATAAAACTATGTGCACATTATTTTCATGGTTTTGTACAACTATTAACATCAAAACCACTTAGGTTAAATGAAAGCGAGACCATAAAATAGCTAAACTGAAATTAACCATATTGCTGAAATGGACAATATTATGTTGCTGAAAATAAAACACCAGATTACACATATTAAACATGGATATCCTAATAAGTGATCTTGCCCAGGTTCTCTGAGGCTATTGTTTATAGATCCTTGATGAGTGATGATAGATCCTACCACACATTTCTCTACTTAAACCTATGAAATGTTTGTGTGTATGGTGAATTTTGGCCTTTAGCCAGTCCTAATGCATTACTCATAAAGAATATACACCTGATTTGTTAGTCTTCAATCACTGATGCATTTAAAATGGTGCCAATGTGACCATAATTGTATTCAGTCCCATCAAGAAAGGAAATCTCATGACAGAACTTAATTATACATTGCTTATTCTGGTCATTCACTAAGTGACTCCATTAATTTTAAAAATTGAAAAAAAATTTTTTTTTTGTACCAGGGATCAAATTTAGGTCCTTGCGCTTGCGAGACAGGTGGTAGAAGCACTGAGCTAAATCTCTGGCCCTGAAAATTGTAATTTTAAAAATTGAAAATTTCAAGTACAGAATTTCTTGAGTTCCAAAACTATATCCATAAGCCCACAGTTTCAGTACTATATTTTTAGATGAACAGAAAAATATAATTTTACGTCTCTCAGATTTTATTGTGCTGAAACTTTTTAGAAAGTACTTGGTTAAGTAAAATTTACAAAGGCTACTCGGAACTTCAAGTTCTTAGTCATAAGACTAGGTCTTACGAATCTCCTGCATAGTCATGTAACATGCGGCATTTTTCAGTCTCACTCCAACACAATTCCTGCTCTTTTCAATTCTTTCTCTCCCCTGCCCTCCCCTTTCTTCCCCTCTACCTCCAGCACTCTCTCCCTCCAAGGCAAGAATATCTCAAATGGCTCTCCTTCGCTGGTCACTGGCTCCTGGTTTCCATACCCTTGATCAAGCTGCTACCTCTGTGCTATTTATTTATTTTTACACGAATAAAACAAAACAATTTCTCCTCTGAGAAGACGTGCCCTTCTCCAGGGCCCTCGCTCCTACTTCTGCGGTAGCACAGCAGACAGCTACTGGATGCCATGTTCCCGACGCTGGGCAGGACAGGCTCAGCTCAGTTCCTCATTTCTACAGCGAAGACCTCCCCTGGTAACTCAGGCCGTCACACCATATCGCCCGGCTCCTTCGCCAGGCCCCGCCCACTGCTCCACTGACTGTAAAGGTCTTGTATTTGGAGTCACTATGTTTCTGCTTTCTGGCTAAAATCTTTCCCTAGCCTTCTCTGCCATGAAGAGTTTCCTGTGGGCTGTTCTCTCTGGAGAGAGCCCCACCTTCAGAAAATCACCCTCACATTGGCTTTGCAGAGAGTGACACTGGGGGCTCACATTCTAGTTTGTGAAATCACAAAATCCGGACCTGACAAGTTCCATTCCTCATACAGGGGGACCGAAGAAAACATCTTTGACGGAGAAGAAATCTTCAGCTGGAGCAGAGTGCAAAGTGTTATGAATCGGAAGCTGAGCAGAAAACAGTGGTTTTAAAACTCCTAAAAAGGATGAGGACCTGGCAAGTGCCTGAGGGTACAAATAGCTCAGCACAGAGGGCAAGCGGGTAGGGGAGGCAGACACGGCTCCTTCTGTCCTCCCCCAGAAATGGTTTCGGACATCAACACAGGGCCTAGGACACATCTGTGGGAGGAAGCGGAGACAGAGCCTGACATCCGCTAACCTCTACTGAACAGTGTAGTCAAATAAGGGAGTCCTGCTAATTGTTTATTTTTCTACTAAGGACAACAGCTTCACTGCATCCTGTGATTAATGGAATGTGAGAAGAATGACACAGTATTTCTCAATCTTGAGAAATGCATGGTTTTCTCCTAAAGCAAATTGTCCCTGGAAAGCACCAGCGCTAACAAATCTTCTGTCCGAAAATTTTACTTCTGTATTTCTAGTCATAAAACTATGTGCACATTATTTTCATGGTTTTGTACAACTATTAACATCAAAACCACTTAGGTTAAATGAAAGCGAGACCATAAAATAGCTAAACTGAAATTAACCATATTGCTGAAATGGACAATATTATGTTGCTGAAAATAAAACACCAGATTACACATATTAAACATGGATATCCTAATAAGTGATCTTGCCCAGGTTCTCTGAGGCTATTGTTTATAGATCCTTGATGAGTGATGATAGATCCTACCACACATTTCTCTACTTAAACCTATGAAATGTTTGTGTGTATGGTGAATTTTGGCCTTTAGCCAGTCCTAATGCATTACTCATAAAGAATATACACCTGATTTGTTAGTCTTCAATCACTGATGCATTTAAAATGGTGCCAATGTGACCATAATTGTATTCAGTCCCATCAAGAAAGGAAATCTCATGACAGAACTTAATTATACATTGCTTATTCTGGTCATTCACTAAGTGACTCCATTAATTTTAAAAATTGAAAAAAAATTTTTTTTTTGTACCAGGGATCAAATTTAGGTCCTTGCGCTTGCGAGACAGGTGGTAGAAGCACTGAGCTAAATCTCTGGCCCTGAAAATTGTAATTTTAAAAATTGAAAATTTCAAGTACAGAATTTCTTGAGTTCCAAAACTATATCCATAAGCCCACAGTTTCAGTACTATATTTTTAGATGAACAGAAAAATATAATTTTACGTCTCTCAGATTTTATTGTGCTGAAACTTTTTAGAAAGTACTTGGTTAAGTAAAATTTACAAAGGCTACTCGGAACTTCAAGTTCTTAGTCATAAGACTAGGTCTTACGAATCTCCTGCATAGTCATGTAACATGCGGCATTTTTCAGTCTCACTCCAACACAATTCCTGCTCTTTTCAATTCTTTCTCTCCCCTGCCCTCCCCTTTCTTCCCCTCTACCTCCAGCACTCTCTCCCTCCAAGGCAAGAATATCTCAAATGGCTCTCCTTCGCTGGTCACTGGCTCCTGGTTTCCATACCCTTGATCAAGCTGCTACCTCTGTGCTATTTATTTATTTTTACACGAATAAAACAAAACAAAACGGTGGCCCCCTCAGACTCCCAGAATCTCTTACTACATAACACGGTTAGGGAAAGGTTGTTCCATACCCGGACTAACTTGTAGCACTGAACTGAGTCAGTGTGGTCTGGGCACGGAGGATCCACCTGAGGATTGTTACCAGCAGCCATGGGAAGAGAAATGGAGGACAAGATCCTGGCCTGTTAATTTTCTAGACATTAACGGTGGCCCCCTCAGACTCCCAGAATCTCTTACTACATAACACGGTTAGGGAAAGGTTGTTCCATACCCGGACTAACTTGTAGCACTGAACTGAGTCAGTGTGGTCTGGGCACGGAGGATCCACCTGAGGATTGTTACCAGCAGCCATGGGAAGAGAAATGGAGGACAAGATCCTGGCCTGTTAATTTTCTAGACATTTGCTGTAGATGCTTTTCCTTTTTTTCCTCCTTTTTATTGAGTTTATTGGTACATTCTAGGTACGCAGTACAGTTACATTCATTACTGGGACCTTGTACCTTTACATGGCAAGTCTTGGTTCTCATTTTTTTTCCCTTGTCCCTGCCCTCCCTTCACCTATAGATGGTTTTCCTGCTGTCGACTAGGCTGTTCTCATTGGAGGAGGAGTGTGGGGCCTCGCCGTCACTGGGAATGGCTGATGTTTTCGTCAGGAGAGCTCCGATCTTCACTGCGAGCATCAGTTTCTGGTTCCAATGTGGATCCCTCAGTCTGGTGGCACTGCTCCTTCATCTCAGTGGTGTAGGTTTTCTAGCTTCCACTACTGGTCTTTGGGCCTTCCAGGTGCAGATCCTCAAGACAGACAAGCATGAGACATTGCCGTGGGCTCCAGGCCACTGGCTGGACTCCTGGAGGACATTGCATTGGACTCTAAGCCGTTAGCTGGACTTGTGTGGGAAACTGCTGGCTGAGGGAAGCTTGATTGTATTCTTTGAGTCCCCAGAGTGCAGTTAATCTACTGCACTCCTTTGCATTTGACGTTTTGGGTAATTATTATGAAGTAATTCCATAAACTAACTATGTGTCCTGTATTTACTGTAGTCCCTTGCCATAACCCTGACTACCAAAGATACCTTAGGGAGGGAAACTGAGATATTAACACTTCCTGTAATCAGCCTTCACGATGACCAGGTGAAGAAAGAGCACAACACAGAATCTTCAATATTCTGATTCAAACAGGTTTAGAGAGAATCTGTATTAGATTATATGGTTTGTGTAGTTATTATGGTAATCACCAAGTATAGATTTTTTTCAGTAATTTCCCACATACACACTTTACAAAAACAGCCATTTACTCACTCTCTAGCAAAAAAAAAAAAAAAAAAAAAAAAAAAAAAAAAGAGGGAGAAAAAAGCTGTCATTCATAAGGCAGCCTGCAGATGACTAGCAGAACACCAGACAGAGAAAAATGTTAAAATGAAAATGCAGACCAATAGGTTGTGCTTCCCGAGATCTGATTTGATGGCTTCAGCCAGCTGTGAACAACACTGCAAGGAGATTTGAGTGAGTTAGTTCTTCCCTCATTCATAAAGTATGTACCTGGCTCTCGCTCTCCAGTAGCAACAGAGACATCATCTGGGAAAGGACTCCTTTGTGCTCGCCGCCTGCGGTTCGTGGCGTAAAGAATCGCTTTCCCACAAACACCACAATGTCACACAAGGCAAGACCGGGTGTGTACACCAAGAAGCCCTCATGTGAGTACGGCCTTTCTTCCACAGTTTACGGAAGACTTTCTCGTGCATCATCTCAAAAACGTATCACCCTTCATTTACAGAAAAGGAGCACGAGTCAAAGGGACTCTTGGTTTCCGTCACTGGACAGCACAGGTGAACATCTTCCTTCTCCTGATTTCAAATTCCATGTTTTTTCCCTCATACCCAAAAGACTCTGTCATTACTGAGAATGGCTTCTGGAAAAATAGTGGTTAAGGGAAGCCTAAAAAAGTGTCAGAACTGCTTTAGGTAAGCACGCAGGATGTGGTGCTGAGTGACTCTTATCGTAATGTTATGGAGCTGAGTTAATAAGTACCATCAGGCAGCCAGGACAGAGGACAATCTCTCCGCAGAAGATAAAAAGCAATAAACTTTATTTTGTGGCACATGCCTCACCTTTTCTCTCCTGGAGCTCTGCTTTCAGCCAGACTAAGATATAAAAGTGATTTCTGATTTGGAATTTTCTGCCACCGCTTTTCATTTAGATCCTATTTAGATGTCTAGTGACTAGAAAGTTTTTCCAGTTGTGGTAAAATAAGAAATGCATTTGGTCACTGCCCTCAATTCCTAGTTCAAAACTTCAGAAACCCCTGTAATTTCCTGAAAGACAGAAGGTTTTTGTTGTTGTTGTTGCTGTTGTTGTTTTGTGTTTTTTTAATCTTTATAAGTTTTTTTTTTCTATTGCCAACTGAGTTTATGCTAAAGAAGTGATATCAGGTCAGCCCTGCATGCACTCAGCCTGGGACTATCAAGAGGAAGACCCTCATGAAATCTACGTCCTTGCCCACGGAATTCTGAGAAGGGGCGGATGCTCTGGGATGTGGCGATGCTGGGAAGATGTTTTCCCAGACAAGACAGTCAAGCACATGCTTTCCAACCTCTCCATCCGGTTGTTCGTTTGTATCCTCTCTAAAGTCCTTCCTGGTAAACTGGTAACTGTGTTTTCCTGAGTTATGTGAAGTGCTCTGCAAATTATTCAACTTCAAAAAAAGAGTCATGAGAGCCCCATGGGTAGGTCAGTCAGGTCGACCAGAAGTCCACTGCCATGGGCAGTGGGCACAGCACGGAGGGGTGGAGCCCTCTGCCTTTGGAACCCAGCAGCATCTCCAGGCTCTCTGCCTGAGTGTCAAACTCCAATCTGATTCTAGGGCTCCAAGTTGGTGGTCCTTGGAGAGCCACTTGGAGTGAGGCAAAACCAAACCACAACCACCACCACAACAACAGCCAAAACACACACGTCCCGTTACATGTGTAAAAAAATGTTGCATTTTTCTTTCCCACAGTCCAGAGAATATCCTGAAATCCACTTCCCAGTTCAACCAAGAAAACTGCAGAAATGATAGATTTTTGTAGCCCTTCCCCAATCAGGACATAAAGTCCTCTATTCTACTCTTCCTTTCAACCTTCCTAGTAAATTGCTGGACATCACTTTCCCTGAAAACGCAAAAGGGCCTTGGAATTTGGCAACTGTCCTGGAGTTTCTCAAACACTTACAGCAAAGTGCTGAGCTACTGGCGTGTTCTTCCTGGGTGATATCTCAGTTGCAAAACCAACATGAACTCTGGCTGACCATGAACCTTTCTGGTTGTTGTAAAATAGCTTGGGCTGTGTGGCTAAAAACTGAGGTCGAGGTCAGATGGGATGCACATATTATTCTGTTTACTGCTTCAAATTGACTTGGAAGCTAAGGAAGGAAAGGGCTGAGAAATGTACAAGTTGTGGAGAGTCAGAGTGTCCAAATCAGATACAGGAATGTGCTGACAAGCTCCCTTGGGGAAGGAAGTACTGTACTTCTTAATGCAGGTTTTTGAAAACCTCTTCCTATCTTACATTAAAGTTGAACATCTGTATCTACCATTGGTTCTGCATCCATGAAATCATTTAACTTTGTATTAAAAATAGTTGATAAAAATTGAGTCTAGGCTGGGTATATCATAGCCTTTTCTGTCATTATTCCCTAAATGGCAGAGTATAACAACTATTTACATAGTACTTACATTGTACTGGGTATTGTGAGCAGATTACAGATGTTAAAGTATACACGAGGCTATAAATAGTTTATATACTAGTTCATTTCATACTAGGTATGCAAACATCTTTAGATGTTGGCGTGCTAGGAAGTAGGAAGTCCTAGAAGCAACCCTACAGAGATACCCAGTGTCTTAATCACTTTCTTGTTGCTGAGATTTCAGTCCACAGTGGGCTGTCTCTAAGGCAAGAAGCGTGACCGAGGGGCCTGGCGGAGAGCTGCTCAGGGCATGGTGGCAGGGAAGCAGAGTAAAAGGAGGACCTGGGAAGGGAGAGGAACCCTTCTAGGCCACACCCCACAGATCTGCCTCTTCTTAATAGACTTCATCTACCAGCAATCCACATCATCCAATCACCACCCACAAGTCCCTGCCTCTGACTACAAGAGGCTTCGGGAGTGGACATTGATATCTTTATGTCAGGGAAGGCTGCAGTTAATCAACAGAGGCTACACTTGGAGGGGAGACATCGTTACGTTCCATGCAGCAGGTGAAGAAGACAATACGAATGAAGTTCCAAAGTCTGTGTTCAAATGCCTGCCCAAGATACTATGACTGAAGAGGTCCTGGCAAAGTCACTCACTCTATCCTTTTTTTTTTTTTTTTTTTTT